GTACACTGTGTTTTACAACATTTTATAATACCAGCGTATACGGTCATTGTGTTATCACGCTAGTCGTTTTCGGCGATTGTTTACGGTCAATGTTTACAATTGCCGTAGCATGCCGTAAAGCATCAGGTACGACCATTGTAAACAGTCACCGTAAACGGCTGACGTATACGATGCCTTACATTGTTTTTCGACCAAAGTATACAGTCACCGTATTGTTACGGTAGTAGTTTACGATGAACTTTTACGAGCACCGTGTACGATTACCATAATATGCTGTAAATCGTCGTTTACTGCTGCCGTATATAGCTAGCGTAAACAGCCGCCGTTATTCGCCGTATTTGGTCAGTGAACTACCGTTTACGGCTGAGCATCATTGACCTTCTTACGCTTTGGTTTTGGGACATTGCCGTGGTCTCCCTCACTAACTTCAAAAACAATGAACTTCGAATTTCGACTTGAAATTTTGCACATGAAAAAGTCACCATGAGAATAGTTTATAGAAGAAATTTCAGATCTTTTGGTTTCTCTTTACCTGAAAATGGGCATGTAAAAAAACTAGGTGAACTCAATACCATCCAATAAAATTTCAAAAAAGTAAATTTTTTTATACAGACACATTCAAATGAGTTAAAATTTTGGATTTCGAGGTTACTCAACGTAGGTTTGAGTGTGTGTGTGAGTGTAAGTGTGAGTGTCGTCAAGGAAAAGACCGATATTCCGCACCCGTACATATACTCACAGCCACAGCGACACCCACACACCCACCCACACCCACACTCCCACACCCAAGTAGTGAAGGGACAACAATAAATAATATTATTAAAGGTTCCAAAATTGGACACAGAGTACTCGGGGAACAATAGCTAATATTAATAAATCCGATGTATTCGTAACAAGGTGTCGATTATGATTGACAACTGTCATTATTGGTAGAGTGTAAATAACATTGTTGTAAGAAATAATTGCCTATTGATTGGTGTGCAGGTTTTGATCTTCAATTCAACTTCACTCACACAGCTAAATTCACTCCACCCCAACCTCCACACCCTCCTTCGTGCATATAATGTATACGTCCTTTTGATGGTGAAGATTAACCATTTCTAATAATCAAGGAATATCTTTCAATAGAAAATGGAGAACTTCAAAAATACTCTACAACAAACAGACCCAATTTTGCTTCGACCTTAAATGATCGATAGTGCGCGATTGAAATGCAATTTACAAAACACTTGTTCATGTGATATGCACATTTGATAAAAAATATAATCGTTAATTTTCTTCATCGAGTTCATACAAAGGTGCTATTAAATGTAATTCATGTTCATGTCCTTTTTCTTGTTTACACTTTGCACACATGTCATAATCTCCACATATTTTGCAGTGATACCTCAACCCAATAAATGGAAACATGCCACAGCCACCGTCACAACATATATGATACCAAACAAATTCTTCATCTGGCAATCGAGGACAAAACACTTTTTTGCCACAACACCAAGATTCTATTGCATTCAGTTCCATTTTACTAATGACTGGATAGCCATTATTTGTTAAACATTCACCAGTCGATGCGTACAAAACAATTAACGTTGGTATTTTTTGCATATCAAAGTATTTCTCTAATCTCTTGATTAATATCATCGAATTTTGTTCTCCATAGGGTATTGTTTTCCAAGGCATGTCTTTGTAATGTTCATCAAATGATTCTTTATCAAAGTCATACAGCCATATATAAATTATATCGAATAATAATGATCGATCTCTATTATTAACTATCAGTTTGTTATATATATCAACCAATTTTAAAGTAAACTGGCGACTTACAGTTGAAGGATCTACAATATATAAGCCAATAGCGGCGTTATTTTTAATAAAATCAGACATGGAAACACGTTCTCCAGTTTGATTACTATTTGTGAGAATTTCTCCATTACCTAATATTTGTCTCATTGAATAACGTTGATTTGGAATCAGTAGATAACTCAGTGGATCACTAAAACAACATTTAAAAGACAATCAATAAATGAAGATAAAGTCCCATTTTTTTGGATGAGTAATGCGTAGGCAAAATTCAAATTTCAGTATATTTTTCATTCTATTCTCTTGGACAGTAGTTCGAAAAATTATTCTTAGTAATGACACTTACTCATTTTCCATGAGTTGCTTAATTTCATCAATACAATTCTGAGCAGCATTTATTTCTTCTGATAATGATAGATTTTTGTAGATATCCAACGCTTTCTCTAAGTGAACCAAGGCATCAACATAATTTTGAAAACCATTAAAATAAACTAAGCCAATGCCTACATGCGTAGCGGCAGTTTCAATTCGATTTGGTGCAGAAATCAACAAGCTGTTCAGTGCTTCTTGGTAATTGATCAAAGCTAATTTGTATTCATCCATATGACTATAAAGTTCAGCCATGGTTGCTAATGTTTTCGCTAAATCTGGATGATTGTTTGGTGAGACAGCTCTGAATATTTCAATTGCTTTTTTATAATTACTTAAAGCTGCATTATGATTTTGAAATCCATGTTCATATATTGAAGCTATATTTTTATAAATAACAGCAACAGTAGAATGCTCTGGTGCACATTCTAATTGAATGTTGAGTGCTCTCTCATAATATTCCATAGCTAAATTGTAATCGTGTTTGGATCGATGTATGAAGCCAATATTTGTAAGTAGTGATACCAGAGCTGGATGATTAACTGTTAATGAAGCATTTTCATATATTTTCAATGCATGCTCATAGTTTATTAAAGCTTCAGTATAATTTTCGAATCCAATAGCGTAGGTCATGCCAATATTATTATATGTAATTGCAGTTTCAGGATGATTTGGCATGCACATCAGTTGAATAGACAATGCTTTTTGAAAGTTAAGCATTGAAATTTCATATTCACCAGCATGCTGTTGTGCAAGTGCAATGTAATTGAGTGTGCTTGCAAGATATGGATGACTTTTAGGAAGTTCTTCCATTCCAATTGATAAAGATTCGTTCATATGTTTTATAGCTAAATCGTAGTTTTTTAGTTCGTTGTAAACAATTCCAATGTTAAGATATGCACTAGCTAATAAAAGACCTTGATGTCCTTTTCTACTTAAATCTAACTCGAAAATATTAGAAAACTGTGTTAATGCTTGTTCAAATAGACCCTGCTGTTTTAAGGCATTGCCTATATTGTTAAATATAGTGCCAAGATTGTATTTATGCCGCAATGGTTTCTTCAGTTCAAGTTCAAGCGCTTTTGAATAATTGACGTACGCTTTTTTATAATCACCATGGCCACAATAGGCAATCATGCCTAGGTTACTGTAGCATCCTGCAACATCTTCATCATTTTCAGATAATGAATCTAATATTTTATTAAAATAACGTTCAGCTTCAAAATATTTTCCCATATGATAGTAGATATTACCAAGTGACAACAAATTGGTTTCCTTCGGTATTTCATTTTTCATATATTCGAAAATTAATTTCAAATCATTTTCCTCTTGACTACTTAACTGTAATTTAATTATCCAAATATTTTCATTGTCATTTCTTGAAACACTACTAATTTTAAATACACTTCCAAGCATAAATAATATTTCTTGTTCTACTTTATCAAATGCACTACGTTGACTGATATCGGCAAATGGTTTAGCATCTACTAAACAAGTATCAGCTTCAATTTCAAATAGTACACCTTCTTCTTTTAAATTAGTATAAGTGTTTCTTGCACCGGCATAAATTTCTGATGCCAACTTTCGATCTTTCGTTGTCGATAAGAAACTATTCATTGAAATGAAATGTCCAATATTGGCTTTCATCTTTTCGATTTCGACATCTGACATCAGTTGTCCTCGATACACGCGAATAATTGTCGATTCATTGGCAAACTTCTTTTGTTCGAATTTTAATCGACTATAAATATCACGAATAAAAAATGATAGGCTAATTAATGTGTGATCATCTCGACATCGTAAAGCACGGTTTAATATACGATATAGAAATGAATCGCGTGTATACCAATAGAGTGCAGCTTGTGCATCATAATATTCTTCCATTTGGTGAATAATTTCCATATCATTGACATTACCATCATATTGCTTTCTACAATTTTTAATAAACAAATCGAAATTGTTTTGATGAACTGTTTCTTCCATTTTTAATAAAACTTCAACTATTAATTGAGACCACATGAAATAACTATCGAGATTTTGATGAGAATATTCCATTGAAGATCTTATTTCTGTCGTTATATTTCTCATAGTTGCTCGATTGAAAACAGTCATACTTACATTCTGTTTTCTAGCTAGAGTATTGCGTCTTATTTGATCGTTCTTAATATTGTCTAATAATTGAACTCTTCCCGTAGTGACTTTCTTGATCTGAAAGACAATCTATTAGTCTAAAATAGTGATGGAATCTAGCTTACTTTTTCGTATTTGTCAGTCCATATTTCATGTTCTCTCAAATCCAAGCAGAAAATATAAATAGCAATGACCTGTGATAGATCATGTATATCTGGTACTAGAGTTTTGCCAATGCTACCAGATACAATTAAAATGATTTCCTCATTCGACTTGCTTTCTATGTAGAGTTTACATGAATCGGCTGAATCAAATGTTTTCAAAAAATTGATCGATTGACGTAGTTCTACTTGTGTTTGGCGATTGTCATTAGTAGAATTCATCTGGGCATCACACCATAGTAGAGTGTAAGTTTCAAGATTTTCTTGTTCATTTTCTTCTGTGCATTGTTTCATCGAAAGAGTTCTATTATCGAAGATATTCGATTTATTACCATCAAGCAGCAAATTATCGATTTCATCAATTAATGATATTAGTAAAGTAAGGACATCATTTTCTATACGAGAGTTTTCGTCAGAATTTGTTGTGCAAATACTGTCTATCATCTGAAAAGACCATTGCTAATTGTGTAATGTGACTCACTAACTTTGACTTAGACGTTAACGTATCAGAATGATGCTATCGAATTTTCCCTTATTACCAAATCAAATGTTTGTTGACTGGTCATAGCTGACTACGTAGTCAGAGGATGCGTCTATTGAGTTTTGGCTATCAACGTTGCTTTTTTCTGCTAACACCAATATATATACACTATGAAGACTTGTCTCACAGTTCGACATTCGGTTTTGACTCGGCTTGAGTTAAACTCGGAACTGTAATTGAAGAACGGTACAACTATGCAGTTTACGAACGGATGCACATCTGTTGGCTTGCCATGTTTACCAGGTTTTAGTAAATGAATTAAAAAACGCTTAGCTATCTGTTACTCTTCGATATAAGAATAAATATCTAACTCTGTTTACAATTGCCTACGACTACATGACAATGTTGAAAATAGCTCTTTTTAACAAAAAAAAAAAGAAATATGCTGAAATAATGAATATTACCCTTTCACTTCTTTATATTTACCTCTACCAACGATCACATGTTTATAGAGTAATTGCTGGCAATAAATAAGAGTCAGTTGTTTGAAAAGAAGTCGGAAGAAAGAACGAGACGAGTCAAGAACAGAAAAGAAAAAATAGCACATATAAAAGCATGCCTGTTTTGAATTCCGAAGAAATGCGTCATATGCAAGGTGGAATATTCATTGGTTGCTGCATTTAATTACTGACATACGTCTAGCAACTATGAATATTTAAATTAATTGTAAATGCTGTGCGACAACAAAAATATACAGCACTTTCATCACTATATTGAGCGATAATAAAATACTCTTTGAAGTTAGGCCGTTTCTCTTAATGATTAGCAAACTAAAGATAGAATATTACACGACATTCACTGTCGAACAATACGTTCCAAGTAACTGTATTCGAGTGGTTAACTGTACCGATGTCGATCGATGAGTGGACAAGTAGGTATAGACAATTGAAATTTAGACTCTATATTCAATTGTTTCCTCTTAGGTTAAGTCAGAGTCTAATGAACGTTTTTATTCGCTTGTTCTAACTCAAAACTATCTCTGTTTGTAGAAATTCAAGCATCGATGATTAGCGATAACGGCATCAGATTGATGTGGGTGTAGATTTGGAGGTAGATGTGGATGAGCCGATTCTCTTGAACATTCACACCGAAACCCACATCCGCCACCCCCTATTCGAAAATGAATAAATAATCTGCTTCTTTGTTAATTCAATAGATATTTGAGATGTAAGTAAAATATAAAACATTGATAGCATAATAGGGTCATTCAGAATTTGGAATCGATAAAAATATGATATTTTGGATCCATGGGTTATAGAAAGCTGTTACAATTTATATTTATTTGACTAGAGAACCTGTTAAGATATAATAACTTGATTTGAAATGTAGAAAATTTCTCAGAAATTTAATATTTCAATTCAACATAGAGATTTAGGATTATAATTGATTAGAGAAATCTATGATATGAATACTAAGAGCATGATTACGTTCTAAAATAGAAAACTTCATATAAAAATTATAATCGTTTTGTTTAGTAAAATCTCTAAAACAATGGCACATACTTGAACTTATCGTCGAATATTATCCGACGAAACGATTTCGATATTAATAGATATTCATACGAGATAATAAACGAACTTGATTAATTAGTAATACAAATATTATAGATTACCGAACTTTTTATCTACAGACGTTAATAATAAGAAGTGTTTCTGGCATTAATAGGTTTAATGAGACGAACTTTTTTTTTAAATAGAATATCAATATATAACACAGAAATCTAAGTATAGCACTAGATTTTTTCATACTGTGTGCTTAAAAAGCTTGAATCTCCAGCAGAATGCCAGAAGACTGAAGTGCGAGAGACAAGGCTGCTAAAACCCACACTCAAACTCTAATTGTTAAGACGTTTTGGCTGAATATATCAATTAGACACAAAATCGTTTGAATTATCAAACATTAATCATCATATTTATATATTTTCTTTTTATTGCTTTAGCGAAATCTTATAAAATACACGAGTTAACGAATGGAAGAGGATATATTCTCAACAGATATATCTCAATTAAGAAAGAGAAATTCACGAGAAGATTTATTTAAATAATGTCTGTCAAACACATAGAGGTCATGAGGATTTAATAGACTTGATCATTGAAGAAAAGAGTTTTTCAGGAAGAAAGCGACAGAAAAAAATTTCCTATAGTGATGAGCTTTCAAAATAAACTCTCTTGTTGTGATCAATATGAAAACCTTTGTTACATGCAGAATGTATATATCTTTGTATTATTTGATAAACAAGCACTTAATTTAGAGCCAAATATCAAATTTCTTGATACCATTCAGATACTAATTCACTTAAATAATAAATGGTATCAATGAACTTTTTGAGCTGACAACAATACAATGTGAAATGAATAAGTAATGAAAAACGAATGAATATGAGTTGAAGGAGTGCTTTGAAAATTCAAACAAAGTATAAACCTTTTTGAAAATATCGCAAGGACATGCAACATGTTTAAATTTCATGAAGCTCTGAGATATATGAAAAAAGTTTTTTAATTCATATACATCCTTGTCAAAAGATTCAATTTCGTTTTAGTCCTTGGAAACTTTTCCAAACTTCTGCAACATATCTTTGCTTTTCAGAATAGCTTTGAAGTTGTTAAATAAAACCATGCAGCACCACATATAGCTTTTATACGATGGAATATGATTATTATGAAATAAGTTCGTACAGACAGATTGCGTGATCAAGGAATCAGAATTATTTTTTATGATTCTTCTACAGATATACATTTGAGTAAGACATGCTAACCTAAACAAAGTTACTCAAATTGTCTGCCGTTTTCATATTCTTTTATATTAACGTAAAAATGAATTTTCTGTTTTGAAAAGAATCTTGAATAAAAAGTATGAAGACAAAAAAACGTTTGAAGAGTCTAACGTGTGTACTTTTCATATATTGATAAAAGTTTATTTTTAAATCTAAAGTCAAGTTAAGTTTTATACAACGATATTCAAGATTAATAGAGAAACATTTTCTAAAAAGTTTAATTTATGAAATTTTTCCAACCATTTCTCGGCTAAGTAAATCAGCTTGTCGTATTGGTTCACAATTACGATATTTTGTTGCTGATTTGAATATATTACAAGCTGTTGTCAATGTTATTTTATGTCCAACACTAATATAAACAGCATTTTTTACAGAACCAGTTACATTATAAGCTAAGCCAAGAACATTTCCACTATCACCTATAACTTCAATATATTGATTTTCTTCGGATGCTTTTTTAGTTAATAAATCTTCAATTTTTTCTCGTGTAATACCATCAGCATAAAGAACATTTTTTGATACACCAAAACATGGAATTCCACTTAAAACGCCAAAATGTGAAGCAATACCAGCACGACGTGGATGCCAAACACCATTACCATCCATTAAAATAACTTGTGGTGTTAAATGAGGACAATTTTCTTTTTGAATATCAATTAATTTCATAAAAACTGGAGCTTCACGAAATGCTAAATAACTAGCTATATATGGAATTTTCATATTACAATTAACACTTATTTTAGCTACGATATTTAATGTTTCATATTCTAAAATAACCATTGATGCGACTGCTTTATCATTGTTTTTAACAAAACTTATATCTAAACCAGCTATGTATTTTATTGGTTGTTGGATTTGATCAATATCAGTAATAATTGATGAAACAATATTTTGTTGTTCTCTAAAGTATTTTTATAAAATCATCGGAAATTTTAGTGATCTGGCAGAAACAAACATAGAACTCATAAATATGCTTCTAACTAACGAGGTTACTATTTCAATAGAATTTATATTAGTTTGTTAAGTTCAATGAACTGATGACGATTACATGCTATGTTCTTTACCGTAGATTCTCATACAAAATTTAGAGCGATCGTAACTTCTGAAAATTGATCTTAAACAATAATTTTAGCAATGTTTAATGTTTATGTTAGTCTAATTGTAAATACGGAAAACTCGAACTATAGATGTTGATGGCGGCGCAGCGGCGGTAGATTCCCAGCCGCGATGGACATCTGTGACTTGAATATTCAATGCATCTTAATTGACTGTTCTATAATATCATGAGTAAATCTGGATGTATGGAAGCGATCATAATTAACTTTTACAATACTGAAAACTAAATAAGTATCATATATCTCTTTTTCCAAGAAGGTAAAGTAAGCTGATGCTTTCTTCACGGTTCACAGAGGTATTAGCTCACAACTCTCTGTCAAGTATAAAATAATAACTTTTTCAATTCCGAACTACAAATTGGCTCAAAGTTAATTGACAGTAATGACTCACACTTTAGTATGTTCTTCTCGTAAACTAATATTTCAACTCAATTAGGAATGTTAAATCTGATATAGTCTTTTGTCTCGATAATAATTTATAAATAGCAAAGATTTTCAGCTTTGTAATATAATGAAGAATAATATTATAAATCATATACTTACTGTGCCCATATAGGTAAAAGATCATTAGCATTCATTTGATATTCAAATTCAATAAAATCTTTAATTTCAATATTCAAACATGTTTGACTGATATCTTTATTTGAATTAATTTTTGAAGTGATGTAAAGTTTTTGAACACGTTTTTTTAATTCATTAAAATTAAATTTATTTTTGTCTAATTTAATCATATATGGAATTTTTAATTTTGATGATTCAAATAATATTTCATTTGTATTTTCATCATATTCCATTCCATTAGCAATTAATTCTGTACGAATTTTATATTCATATGAACGTGATAATATTTCATCATCAATTTTTATCATATTTTTTGTTGTTTTACGAAATTTTAAATAATGTTCAATTGTTAAAACAATCTTTAAAAAAACATCATCAGCATAAATATTACCTTTTCTTCCTGCAGTTTGACCAATATCAATCATACAATCCATAATCATATATTCATTTATTAATTCATCATTAAAATATTTTGTTTCAATTATATTAGCAACAGTTTTATGTAAAAGAAAATGTGCACTTGAATTATTTGGTTCAACATTTCCATAATAATTTTTCATTTTATTATTAAAATTTTCTTTTATATCATTCATTAATATTGTTATATTAATACGTTTATTATTAATATCATTTTGCCATAATGGTTCAGTATTAAAAAATAATTTACTTGAACAAGAAAATTTTCCAAGATTAATTGCATATCCAGCTATAGCTGTTTCAGATTTAGAATGATAATAACCAAAAACATTTTTATTTACTTTCTTTTCAAATTCTAACCATTTAATTTGCATATTTTCACGAATTTCTCGATATTTTAAAGTAAAATTAGTATATAATTTCATAGGTCGATCATGTTCATATATAGTTGTTAAAAGATATAGAATAAATGAAATTGTTTCTTTCGGAAGTATTGTTATACGATCAATACCTAAATTTTCAGTAAGTTTATCAATAGAATTAATAATAGTATCATAGGATTTGCCTAAAAATTCTTTTAACTTTTTATTATTAATATCAATTTGTTTGAATGAATATTGAAGTGGTATTCCACATAATGTATCAAAAAGTATATCATATAATTGTTCTTTAATAATATTTAAATATTCAATACCAAATTTTGTTTTTGAACATTGATTTTCAATACACATAAGAATAAAACGTTTTTGTAAAAGTATTTGAATTATTTCTTTATCAAGTTGATGAAATATATAATTAAAATTTAATATTCTACAAACAGCATTAAATGGTTGTTGTAATAATTTATCTTCTTGTTTTATTATTTCTTTTAATGCATTAATAAATATTATACGATTACCTTCATTAGAAAATGAATCAGTTGTAGAAATATTTTCAATAATTTGTTTAATAAAATAATTTTTTATTTCTTGATTAAACCAATTTGATTTAAAATCATCAATTATAGATAATAGTAACATTTGAACATGATGAAGAATTTTATATCCAGTTAAAATTTGATAAAGAATATTAGTTGCAAATTTTTTATTCGATTCTATTGACCAATTTAATGGAATAAAACCTTTACATGGTTCTCTATAAAGAGTTATTAATTGTTTTGAATTATTTATTGTTGCATTTATATAAGATTTAGCACAATAACCACAAACTGGATTTGAAACAATACAATTAATTAAATTTTTATTTCCTTCTAATGGAAAATTAATAATAAAATCATTAGTTGTATCTTCAAGATTATTTGGTTGTTTTAACCAAAGAATAAATGGTCCTTGTTCCATACAAATAGCACATTTAAATAATGGAACATTTGTATGATCTAAAATATCAATTGTATCAGAATATTCATCATCAATTGTTGTTAATATTTTAGCACGATTAGCACGATTTGATGAAAATGTAAAATCATTAATTGTATAAGAACCTATTTCTTGTTCAAATATTAAATTTTGTATAATATTCCAATATTGACGAATTTTATTAAGATTGATATTAATATATTGTAAATATTGAATTTCTTCAATTTTAGCTTGATCAGATATTTCATAAAGTTGTTGACGATATTGATTTAATTCAATTGAATTATTAATTTCATTTAATTTTAATTTAACAATATTTGAAATAATTTCATCATGTTGTTTTAAATATTTAAAATTAAAATTTGATTTTAATTTTTCTTTTTCAATTTTTATTGATTCATTTTTCATATGAGAAACATATATTCGTAATTCATATAATTTATTATTTATTTTTCCATATTGAATTAATGTTTTCCAATCATTTTCAGTTAAATTTAATATTGAATCTAGATTTTTATTATTTAAAAATTTATTAAAATCAATTGCAATTATATCTTGTTCATTATCACGTATTGAAATATAACCATCAGGAATTTTTGTATATTCATAAATTTTTATATTATGAAATAATTCATTTATATTTAATGTAGTTAACTTTTGATAATCTGTTAAATCATCAGATGATTTATAATATTGACTAATATAACCTTTTGATGAAAGAATATAAAATATTTCACCATCATAGAAAAGACATAAAACATTAGAAGCCATCATTAATGGTGCAACAACTGAAACATTGATTTGTGATGGTTTTGATAATTTATCATTCACGATTATACAAATAACTAATGCTTTGTTTAAATAATCTTTTGTATAGATAGCAAACTAAATTTTTATAAATGATTTTAATTTCAGAAAAATGTTATTTCTATTACTCTTTAGACTAACGAGGAAAGTCTTCAAACTCATAAATCTCTGTTTATGTGAATTAAAACTATGATAATAATGTGTCTTGTAGATTACTCATACAAATCAAAAGACTTAAAACTTTCACATTTTGATGGTGAGGAATAGAGACCGTCGGGTTCGGATCCAAAAATTCTTGGATCCGATGGGCTCTAGTGAGGAGACAAAAATGACACACACTCACACCAACAGACGTGCAATGAATGGTCTAATTACTTGCTCATAGTCGTCAAGAGACGATCGACAAAACTCATATTATCTTTCTGTTATATGAATGATTGTATTTTCAATACTCAAAGGTTTCATTCTTGTATAAAAAAATCAAAATTTCAAGTTTTCTCGTTTTACCTGTGTGACACTAGTATTATCGATTGCTCCATCGGTAACAAAAACAATAACATCCGATTTAGTATATGCTTCTTTCGTTAATTCATTGTAAAATATAGCACTTGGACTTGTCCCACCTTCCGGTGTTGCTGTTTGAATATTTGTACATAATTTAGCTAATGTATTCCAAAGAACAACATAATCAAATTGAGTAACGTGACAAATACTTAATTCAGCTTCCAAAATATTTTTTTTTATCGAAATCAATTGAGAACTTGTTGAACCAGAATTATCAATGAATATACCGGTAATAAAATCTAAACAATATAAAATATTCTTGTAAATTAAGATATGTCATGTGGAAAATTATCAAAATGATTAGTTATTATTTTCTACACAAAAAAAATTACCTTTCACCGTTTTTAACTTAAGTTCAGCTTTTGGAATTGTAACTAAATATGATGATGTCATTTTTTGTGTTTTGTATAGTAAAATCAGAAAAGTGAACACGTTTATACGACAAAACTTTGCACAATCTGTAAGAAATTAACACGTAATAAACTATCTTGAGTAAAAATTTGATAGAGTAATCATGAGAAAAAAAAACCGCAAGGATAACAACAGCGATCAATTTATAAACAGAAAAGATACGATCTATCTTCTTTTATAGGTTCAATGTTCTAGAAACAATGGGTCACTATGCTGCTATGACCGCTGTAACCTTTTGACCGACGAAGCTGCCTGTTCAGTTTGTTCTCTATTCGTATTTATTTCCCTTTTTCTTTCTCGTACAAACTCGTCTTCTGTATAAAATAGGCACAATTGGTGTGATGAAGCATTGTATGAATATCTATCCTAGGGATAGAGGTAACACTTTTCCTTCAGTTTACCATTGTTGGTCAGAATAAAATGTCCATTACAATTGTAACGAAATAGAACAACATGATATCTCTTATTTTCGTCACACTCAATTACTTAGGACTATAGACTTGCATGTCTCTTTTGTTTCATTAAGTCGTATCCAATTTTTTTTAATGCCTCACATTCTTCACTAATATAACATTTAGTTTTTGATGTAAATTTTAAGTGATAAAACTCGTGTTTCACGTGTTACTGTACAAAAACAAAATAAAAATCTATTCGTATATGTGTTGTTTCTGATGTGCCAAGTTTTTTTGATTGATGTTGTGAATGTTCTTGAAAAGCACATATTTCAAATATATACGATCATATAGTATCAGTGTTAACTTGTAATGATTACATAGCTAGTGACCATGCTAACGTAATCGATCGATGATCGACTTTTCTAATGCTGAAATCAAGTGCTTTTGGCAATGAAACTACATAAAACAGACTTTGTTTTTTTTTGTTATAAATCTTCGTATTGATTTCATATGGTGCTATAAGTATCATATTAGTTTTGATGTTTACTAAGCTACTCACATTGAATGTTATCTTCATTTCATGTACAAACATTACAATAATGATTTAAACTTTCAGTTAATTTTCGTAAAAGAGTATCACATTGACTTAATGAAACGTTTTTTTTTGCTAGAATCTAATTAGCTTAAAGAGCATCATGACGTTCAATAAAAGAAGAAAATATCGCTTTCATCTCTTAATAATGATAGTTACCATGATAGAGATTTTCATGTTGAATCTGCATTGATTGTTCGTAATAGTTTGTCAGATATAGAAGCAGATTATAAAAACAAATAAATATCATTTGACGGTGTAAATAATCATTCAGCCGTCCACATCTAAACTCATACTCGACTGTATACGAGATCTCAATATTCAACAGAGTATCTCGAAAGATGTTAATCTCTCAATGAATTTTCAGTGACTCCTGTTTCTTTTGGCTTCATATAGCTTTTTACATTATTCGAAGTTTCATTTCGAGTGTTCTCCTTCGAAAATTGATGTTTGGGCTACGCAGTGCTGAGCGATTACCTACGTGTAATGAAAACAAAACATTAGGATGACGTTTTTAACGAACAGAATTTTGTGTACAAATATATAGATATATGTAGAGTGTATAGTACTCATAGAGGATCTGAAAAGCCTTATTTTGAGATTCTAAATAACAACGAAAATCTTGTTTCTATACCCAAGACGCACGTGCATATATGTTAAATAGTGCGACAGGAGAAAGATAAAATATCACTGAAAGTCGAAGATTAGAAATGATGCACTGGTGAAGTATCTATTGGTATTAACTTAAATCGTCGTATGAATATTTTTCTGATGTCTTTCTCTTTCTCTATTTTGTAGATGTTGATGGTAAAGCATCTGATGAGTACTACATTCCAACATATTTTGAAAGACTTCCAGATGAACTGTAGTTGCATTTTTTCAACTATTTGGGCATTTGTCATGTGTACCGGATCTTTTTCTGACTTAATTAACGAATCGATGAAATTTTGCGATCACTCCATAATATCTCTCTTAGTTTGTTGCCGTCTGTTGATGCCAATGATCCATTGTTAGAATTTTTTGCGGTGTGGGTGTTGGTGTGCGGGTGGTGTGGGTGTGGATGTAAGAAAAGATAAGACACACTCACACCCTCAAGTTATTAATAAATTCAGATAATTTTTTTTTAAATTTTTATATTATTTAATCGTTTTTTTTTTATAAATTTACAGAAGTTGGCTCGAAAGACATGGCCGTTCGACAAAAAAATGAAACTGCAAATTATATTTTTTTTTATTTCATTTTTATGTATATCCTTTTTTTATATATGCTTTATTTATGTTTATGCATACTTTATTATTTTGTGTAAGTGTTGGCATTTTTTAAAATACTGAGTTTTTTGATTGAAATAAAGGTACTACGCAGCAAATACGGCTAGAAAATATTAAATATTAAGAATATATATATTAATATTAACTGTTAGTGACGGAAAATAAACCAATAGGATGTTTTCAAAAAGCGACACAGATACGCTTGCGACACTATAGGCGTACATGTTTCGACACCCCATGACATACCTTACGCACATGTGTCGACACATGTGTCGGTACCGTGTCCTATCGACATAGGAACATGGATAATACCAAGAACGACATCTCAACTGATTCGAAATATTTATTCACATTTTTTTCTTTCGTCGCTTTTGTGTCATGTGACTAAGAAAAACTAATAATGTTTTTTTTTTCGTTCCGTTTTTAGTTTGATTCATAGGTAAAAGTAATTGTTTTTTTTCATAAAACACAAATAATGATTCATGACTTTCTTCATAATATGTTTTTAAAAAATTTCCATTATAGATTTTTAATAGTTTTTCAATATCAAACAACATAAAAATTAAGTCAATGGAAAAATTACCAGTTGAATTATTCCATTGTATTTTGGATAATCTTGATATAGAAATAATCATTTTCTCAGTTCGATCGGTATGTCGATTATTTCGATTGTTTGTTAATAGTTATGATCGATATGCATTGAATTTAACTTTAATTTCCAAAAGAAATTTTTATCTTCTTTGTCAATTAATTAATCCAAATAATGTTACATCATTGACACTTGCAAATGAAGAGCAAACACCAAATCAAATAGATTTGTTTATTTCACTCGTTCGTCTTCGTCAATTTACTCGACTTCATTCAATAACTCTTCTTCACATTGATGAATATCAATTAAATTTTATTTTAGAACGAATTAAATTTTAATTTGGTTACTTCATTTTCATTTAGAATTAAAAATTACGATGATAGACATATGCAAAGAACAAACAATTGTCTTACATCAATACTCTCGAAATCGAGTTTGAGAAAAATGGAATTTTATTTTAGAAATAATAGATTATCGAAGATTTCATGGCCATCCAATTGTTCAATTCAATCTTTGGTTGTTAATCGACACATAACTATGGATAATATTTTAACTATACTTCAATGTTCTCCTCATTTACATAAACTTATTTTGAAAGAGAGATTAAATGAGATCATCAATCATGTCTCACTAAAATCTACTGCTCCCATATATTTTCGACAGTTAAGATCGTTAACCATAGAAAATTTTAGTGAAACTATTGATCTATTAGAATCCTTTCTTTTATTGACACCATCACTGATTCATTTAAAACTTGTTGGTTATAAACTTATGTCCAATGGTAAACAATGGGAACAATTCATTCAAATAAATTTACCTAATTTAGTTAAATTTGAATTTTATTTTGTTTATTGGAGTCAAGATAAGATAACATCAGATAGTCTTAATTTATTTATTGATTCTTTTCGAACTCCATTTTGGATTGAACACAAAAAATGGTTTATTACTTGTATATGCGATATCGAACGATCAAGAGTCATTTATCTTTATTCAATACCAATATGTATAACTTGTTTTAAATACGATGTAGAATTATATAAAAGTTCATATTTCAATTGTCCTACGATGATGATAAATTCATAAAAAATGATGTCAATTCCCTCAGTTTGACTTTAAATAAAGTATTAGCCAATTATATATACGAAAAGGTATTTTATTCGACTGGAGTTATACTATTTAACACATATAGTAGTATGCGATGAGAATCAACATTGTGTGTTTTTTTGGTTTTTTGATAGATCACTAGGCTTAACGAACCCATAGGAGTTTTATCTATCGTTCTTCTCATTCATTTAAGATTTATGTTATTATGGTGGCAAATTGATAAGAGACAATCAAAAACACTAATGTAGTGCAAATCGATATTAAAACAGATAATATCTTTTTTGTGTCAATTTTTAACTCATTTCTGTATTAAAAATATATCCAACATATAAATATTTTCTATCAAACGTTATTATATGAGTTTATTCTATTCGAAAATAAAATCGAATTTAACACAGTTCTTCGAAACATAGTTGGATTCCGTTAAATTCTCTATTAATTCAGAAAAAAGTCAGATATTCGGTTGAATCTCAATGAATCTGACTAGTTTTTCCAAATAACTTTATTAACTTTGATCCTATCTACAAATAGAATAAATTCAGATAAAAAAGTTTGGAAAAACAAATTCGTCTATTACATATGATTTCAATATCATAAAAACTGATGTCTTTGAGGCAGAAAAACAAGATTGACCTCATAGTTAGTCAAATATCCCAAGTTTATGTTAACTACATATACGATCTCACAAAACAGAAAGTAGCATATTATGTTTTCTATATATTTGAATAGTTTATTCATTTTTCTTAATTCAAAATAACTAATTAGAGATATTTATCTTCATCACTTTCAAGCTGAACTCGAGTTATCCATTATTAATTGTATAAAATTTTGTTATTTAGAATGAAAAGCCGTATCTTATCATTCTTCAGATTCTAGTATATATTAAAAAGCAATAATTTTGTCATTCACAATCATGAACTTAGTCGCAAATCGTGATTGCCGTGACCCTATCTTTTACAAAAATAGTAGTAGAACCAGGAGGTGACTAGAGGAAGGGAGTCAAGCCACTTAAGAATCTATGAGCTCCCCCTAGTGAAATGTTCGAAGCATACATTTTATTCGCCAAGATGGTTCAACTCATCCCTACAGATCTTTGAGTATCAGCCCCCATCCCCTCCCCTTTCCGCCACTCCCTAAGTCAGAATTCTGACCCCGGCATTGGGTAAAACTCTTGGTTGTGATTCCATAATATGTTAGTGTTGATTACTAATCAGAAACATTGTTCGCATATTTTACTATATGATCTAACTATAGAAGACACTAAACTAAAATACTAATTTAAATGTTGAATCGATTATATTTTTAACCTTGAGTCAGAAAATGTCACACTAAAAGCATTTCTTTTTCTATTGAATATATAAACTTCTTTCAACTTTATAGTAGTTTGAGTTTGCAAAGTTCTGAAAGACAACTAAATAACTTGTAATTATTTAGTCGTCTTAAATGAGATTTGCCCACTATACTTAACATCAAACTATTAAAGTGAACTTTCAAAAATGATAAAATGACGGTGAATACATCATATCTTAAGAATTTATTGAAAGTATACTTATGCTATCCGGGATAAAACAGTGTCTACATTTGAATATTTTAAGAAATCAACAACGGATCAACTTCTGTTTCCAAAAGTGACTAACGTCAATATGCACATTTACAAAGAATGGCCGTTATTTCCTCTCAAATGTCTCTCAATATTCATCAATATTTCTCAAATAGTTCAAATAACATTGTATAGCTCTTGTTTTACTCAATACAATCAAAATATATTATTGAACATTCGTGATTTCTTTGAACAAGCTCACAATCTTTCCTCATTAATTATTCAAACTTGTTTATACATAAACAAATTAAATTTGGCAATAGAAAATATACATGCCGTCATTCCACAACATATAAAATATTTGCACATGCCGATTTCTACTATAGATCAGATACAAATGATACTTGATCGTTGCAATCGTTTGATAACAATCACATTTGACGTTTGGTGTGCAACACTCAATGAAGAAATCATTAAATGGTTTAATAACAACACAATTAATTCGACGTGCTCGAAAGGTTTTCTTAATATGGTTTCTATATGGATCGGAACAAGAAAATTTCAATCAACTGATTTAACTGTTGGTAGAAAACGTATGAAATTCTGCTAAGACCGATTCACAGATTCAACGCATTACGTTTTAGCAACTTTTAATAATCAAGAATTTCAAATAATAATTTTCAAATTTTTATAAAAGTTAATTGTTACAGTTTTCTATGATCAGATAATTTTCATCCTAAAATATCTTTGTTTTTTTAACTACGTAAAAGGGTGTGGGTGTGGGATTGTGGGTGCGGATGTGTGGGTGTCGATAGAAGATAACTGAAATGCTGTCACTCACACCCACACCCGCCAAAATAAAAAAAACATATGAAACCCACACAGTAATGTAGGTGTAGATGAGAAGAACTTCCATATTCATACCACATGAGTTTTTTCGTTTTGACTGGATAGACGAATGTTTGTAAATAAATCGGTATCGATAGTACAGAAAACATTCATCTACCCACATACTCTAATGAGACTGTCTCAATGCAAAAATATTTGTTTCATCCATGTCAACATCTAGATATTTCATAAATCCAATGTTGTTCTCCACTATTACAAAGAGATAATAGAATATTGTCATGAAATAAGAGATTTTTTTCTCTTTCATGAGAGATTATGAGCGAATGTCTACTTGTCATGAAAAACATACTCTAATACAGATTTTAAAATAGATTTCGATAAATCCAACGAACTCAACATTCTTTGATTAGGTTTCATGTATATTTATGAAGTCCGTAAAACATCTTACACACCTTTGATAAGCCATTATTATAATGCTTTCGTTCTGATTTAGAAAAGATTAAAGAGTTTCAAATTCGTGGTAACAATGCGGTTGTGCGACGAATACTAACACTCATATTCACATCTACATCGTCTATATCTTGCAGTATTTTTGTTCTCTCGTTAGAACAGGGATATGTCTTCTGTTTTGAACGCTGAGTCTGAGTCTGCTCTTTCTGTGGAAGAGAAGAATATTACAAAAGAAGCTCGTCGTTTGTATCGGACAATGTTTGGAAAACTTTTGGACGATGACATCGGTACACCATCATTGATCTGTGAGCGTCTATTTCTTGGTTCTGCACCTGATGCCCGCAACCTTGACAAGTTGCAGCACCACTGCATCAAGTATGTGCTAAATATGACGGGATCGACATCATATCCTGTTGATTTCTTCGCGGTTTCCGGCCACCCACATGTGATACTTCTCACTATCGATGCACATGATGACGATAATTATGACATCTCTGCTTGCTTTCCTGTGGCACTCAATTTTATCCACAAGTCATTACAGACTGGAGATGGAGCTGTTTTGGTTCATTGTGCCGCAGGTAAGAAGAAAAAGAAAAACAAACATCACAAAATAAAATACTTATAACCTGTTGTTTTTTCTGCCTGCAGGTGTATCTCGTTCAGCCACGATAGTTGCCGCCTATTTGATGGCTGCACACAAGATCAATGCTGCCGAAGCCATTTTACGCGTACATCAGGCACGTGCGTGCGTGTGCCCAAACCTCGGTTTTCTGCAACAGTTGCTGCATTTCGAGCGTACAGATTTCAAATTTACATGATGCTATAATGTGATTCATTATATTTGATATTGCTGTCTTTCCTCTGTTTTGTTTCCATACATATCTTCTTTTCATCATCTTAAGATATTTTCCAAACTTTTTCTCTTTTGATATTGTTAAGATAATTTCCCGCTAGTTCATTTTTTTCAATTACCTTTAGCTTTTCCTAGTTTGATCGCATATATTTGACAACAGTTTAAAAAAAAGTTAGACGTTCATTATCGATCAGTTCGATAGAATTCCTTGTTTCATGCTTGTACGATGATGAGAGTCATGGGCATGGGAATCTGTGAGTGCACATTCCGATATGAGTACGAGTATGAAACTTCTTTTCTCCCACATTCACATTCAACTTTCACACCTACATCCAACATGACTATACTGGTTTCTCTAAGTTTTGTTAGGTTTTTTTCATGTGGCTTCAGTTTCATTAAATAATACTGAAGACCATATGTGTGAAGAAAAAAACCAACCTAATAAAAGACACAGAAAGGAAAAAAAATATAGATATGCGTGTATGACGCATAAGAGAAATAAATAAATCTATACGTCATGTATGAGTAAACAGAAAAGAAATTTCCCTGCGATGTATCATTTAATTAGTACTCAAAAAATCATCATATAATATATATATATATATGCGCGTATTAAACAAATCCGCAATGGTTCTCAATTCGTTCTATTTAACATTAAAAATAAATTACTATTCGCATTGTTGTCATGCTAATTCATTTTACCAAATCTCTGTGAATAGAATCATTATCGTTAACATAATAATTTTATGAAAAAATGGGGGAAAAGTGAAAATCATTATTAAAATATTGTCATAGTTATGATCAAGATATACTCGAAGGTTCACATGTAGAAGAAATAAGTCGGTTCTATTTTGCATGTAAGAATGGAGATACAGATACAGTTAAACAAATGTTACCTACTATTCCTTATGATCAATTAAATCAGTTGGAGTCTAACGGCAGTACTGCTCTCCATGCTGCAACATATGGTGGTCATTTAGACATTGTTCGTCTACTTCTACATGAATATGGTTGTCAACGACATCTAAGAAATCTTTACGGTTTTACAGCATATGAAATAGCACAAACAGAAGAAATGCGACAAGTTTTTCATCGACCATCAAATAAAAATCGATTTAATGACGATTCGATGGGTTTTGAACAAACTTTTAGAAGACATTCATCATCAATAAATCAAATTGTAATGGGTAGTCGTATTGATGACAATGACGTTGCAAAACCCAATCAACGGTTTTATGTCGGTTATGAAACAAATGAAGAAGTTAAAAAGCAATTAGATAGTATTAATGGTGTTAAGGCGCTCTTTCAATCACGAATCGGACGATATATAACGAAGCAAGGAATAAAATTAAAACTTGGCAAAAGAGCTGGGTATAGTAAGAAAGAATATCCTTATATTGCAAATGAACAATTTCAACAAGAATCTTTGCAAAAAATATTAGATGAGAGTGTTACTTCGAATCATATTGACTATAAACATTGCTGTTATCTTCTCAACGAATACATTCAACAAGGTACAATCGAATCTTTGTTAAAACTCTACACATTGGAAACACCATTTTATTGGTCATTATTCAAATCGCCAAGTCCATTAGAATTTCCACTTTTTATGCATTTGTCAGATTTAAAAGAACGTTATTATCAAGGATATTCCTATCGTGGTGTTCAATTGATTCAACATCAGTTAGATGAATATCGATGGGCATTGAAAACTAAAGATAGTGTTTTATCATTGGTTACATTTGCGTCGACATCTATTAATCGAAGCGTAGCTGAGAAGTTTGCTGTAAAATCATCATCATCATCAGATAAAATAACTGCCCTATTGATATTTCATTTTCCTCAACCATGTGACACAGCAATCAACTTAAGTAAAATTCCTCAATATCAATTACCATGTATATCAAATTATGAAAATGAAAAAGAAATATTAATTGCTCCACGAACATTTTTCAAAGTGACAGATATTGAAATTGATCAACCTCCTGAACGTTATACGATTTATTTAGAGAATGTGGGCGGAGAACGGCAAACGATGTTGAAGGCACTAAAATTTTTCCTTACAGATGACTTGAACAGAAAAACAAACAAACTCTTTGTTTTCGATCATGTATTCTGTACTAATGATTGAAATTTTTCGAGAATGAAACTACGTCAATGAATAAAGAGATATGAAAATATTAGCATATAACTCAAATCATTATATTTTTTACATTCTAAATAAATATTCAAAGAATTATTCTTTCTGTTGACTCCAAATGGCATATTTGAATCTTAAACGTTCATTTTTTGGTTATTTTTGAAATAGATGAAGATATACTCAGTGCATGTGGGTGTGAGTGTGGGCGATTGTACAGAAAGATGCTTCTGGGTGGCCATTTAACACATTCGACTTGATGTGAGCCATTGGTGGCTCACGATAAAAAGATTGAATATTTTCATTCTGATTTAACTAAATGAGCTGGTTTTTTCGTCGATGATAGAGGAATATTTAAATTTTTTATTTATAAGAGAAACGTCAATAAACACTGTGGTAAGGTGTTATAATTAGTTTTGAAAAGGAAAGATGACTTTATACAAGTATAAAAATATTCCTCTGTAATTGGAAAGAATTATTAGTCTAATTTTTTGAGAATTTTCTGACTTTTACTTCTTGAGGCCAATAAGAAAGCTTAACGCGGCATTCATTGGCGTTTTTCTTATAATTAAAAACTTTAAACATGCCTCTATCAACGATGAAAACATCAGCTCATTTAATTAAAACAGAGTGGAAATATTCAATTTTTTTGTAGCGAGTCGCCGGTGGTTCATATCGGGTCGAGTATGTTAAAATGTAAGTGTAGATGTGTATGAATAATATATTCTAATTAAGAGCTACACCCACACCCCCAAGAATCGACCTCTTTAGAAATTCAGGTTGCCCAAAAGAGATATAACAGAGGCGAAGGAGGCCATTTTTGGAACGAAATATAAGAATGAAATAGTTAAGTCAGTTAATACTTATATACTACGACTGTCGTTTATAATATCCTTCGGCAAAGAAAAAAAAATATTATTTAGCTTTTTTTCTTACTGTCATAAAATATAGTAATAAAGTTTAAATGAACGTTTTATCGATCTTAATTAGACCAGTCTGACTGAGTATCACTCAGTCTTATAGCATTAAATGAAAATTTTAAGTTAAAACTTTAAGATCCTACTTTAGGGTGGGTGTGAGTGTCGGTGTGGATGTCGATCGAAGATGACTGAAACGCTCCCACTCACACCCACACCCCACACTCACATCCATACCCTTGTTATACTCGTCGAATGAATAAAAAATGATTTAGTTATCTTTCTAAACGAATTCATTGAAAGAAAATAACGATTAACAAGGAAGAAAAAAATTAGTTTAAATAAAAATTCTTTTTTGTTTTCTTTCGTGTTTGAAAAGGAAGAAGTACAAAGAATTATTTTCATTTCAGCCAAATCAAATCAAGGAAGAAAAAATGAACTTATTTTATATTAGCTTTCTTCAAAATGATTTTTTTTTCTTTTTCATAAAACAGTTTGTTTTTTTGATCTCTATTTTGAGGTCAGAACGAAAACAACTTGTTTCTTCAATTTTCATATTCAACTAGAAAAATTTCAAGAAAATAGCAAAATAAAGTTTCATCTGGGACAAAATACGGCTGGAAAAGAAGAAAGAGATTTATTTATGCTAATTTATTTCTGAAGATCCGATAAAAAAAACTAAACAATCTTTCATTTTTCTTTTGTTTAGATTTTAAATCTTCAAATGATTTCCACACTCAAAGTGCAACGGAAGTTTTTTAAATAATCTCTAAGAAAAAATAAATTTCCGAATTCATCTCATTTTGGTTGTTTATTCTAATTTCATATAAAGACAAAATCATTAATACCATTCTGATAATCTTTGACTAAAATTTGAATAGATTATGTGTCTTGATCTCAAAAGAATTGTCCTAGGTAATACTTGTTACTTAACCGTGAGTAAAAGATATTCGATGAGATAAACTTCGCAGAATTATAGAAGTTGAGTACTGCAAATGTTCTTTTGCAATTCATACTTTTTTTATTTTTCTCACATGGATAGCATCTACAAGCGCTGTTTCATCAGTGATAAAAAAATAAGCTCACTTATTCAAAATATGGCGAATATATTCTATTTTTCGTTCGGTATAGTCATTTCTGGACCACCCTATACGGTTATTGACAGAAGAATAAAGGTAAGGTGCTGTGAAAAAAAAATATTCATCTTTTCTTTTTTTTTTACGGTCCACTTCTGCATACAGTTGCATGTACGATGAATATGCAGGCCTACGAAAAAGAAAAACAACAGCATACATTTTTTTTTTCGTTTGTTTGTATTCTCAAAGTATAGGTAGTCATTTGTCTTCGGTTTGAGAAATCAAAATCAAAAAAACAATTCCTGATAGAAACGATAAAATAAAGTATTTGCGTAGTAATTATTTTGTTGACAGCTATCTATGAATATTACTTATACTAAACCAAAAAAATAATCTCGAAAATTGCATACATAAGAAACCATTAATTACGTGTCAACATTTGATTTATTTTACTAATTATACAAATACACCATTTTAGTTTTATTGCAATGTTATTAAACAATGTGCCACTAATATGTCTTTATTGTGACAGAAAAACTTCATCAATAAAAACAATTTTGTGCTGATTTTTCACATTTCTGAATGTCTCGAAACCTTGAACTAACTTAACATTATGATTTGTCCAAATCATTACAAAAGCATGTGAATTTCTCAGTGGCGAAATTCGATACAACAATTGTTTGCGCATAACTGCTAGATAAACCTGGTTATATTCTACAGAATAGCTAAAAAATTGCTTTAAACCACCGAAATCTCATTGATACAGCAAAAATAACTTATTTATATTGCAAAGCTCTATGTATTAGAGAATGGCGAAGCATTACAGCTTTTTATTTCAAAGAAAATTTTGAAACCGTAGTTCTTATGACATTTCCTAAATATTTCAATAGATAATTGTTTGACATCAAACATTATATAATTAACTAATCGCGAAGGGCGCAAAAGAAATTGGGTTTTTCTTACTAATTTACTCATTAGTTTAAAAGTTTTCTATATAACCATGAGAATATCAAACCTCGAACAAGAATTGTGTGCTTAAACACAGTTTCCCAAATATGTTATTGTCTGGTTAATTCATTTCATCTTCCCTACGAATAGAACACTATAGCAGAAATTGTTGTTCCTGTCTCTTATTTAAGATCATTAATGTGATTATGTCTAGCACTACATCATCCGACGAATTGTCATCTATAACTCCTTCAATTCCACATCTATTTCATTCCCTTTCACCTAATGATATTGAGTCTAATCGAACAATTGACAATGTACGAATTGCATGATTCACTGAAAGTATTCAAAATCTAACGAATGTTTATATCGATGAAATTGTTCTTAATATGATCGCACCGACGGAACGAATTGATGATACGAATATGTTTGTTGATTTTGTAACGGATATTTAACAAAACGAACCAAATGAGACATTATTATTTCTTATCATTAATGCCAGGAATGAAATGAGCGAGTTCATTATTAAAATATTACATGATCTTGCACAAATTGGTTCTATTTATGTATTACAAGATGAACACAATGATTATTTACTATGGCCTTTTGAACAATATGGAAAGGTGAATGGTCCCTTTTCAGTTGTCGCGAAATTTTATGATCAAATGAAAACGGATATGCTGCGAATCAAACGTGAACATGAATGTATTAGTTTTGATATATGGCGAGTTTCAGACAGTACCGATAGTCTCAACACAGTATTTCAAAGAAAAGATCGACAAGAAGCCACATTCATGTTCGGTCAGTTGCTTAAACGTGTTCTTGTTGATACATATAATAAAGACGATGATTCCATTGAATCATTCAGTAATATGATGCACTACCTTCGCCAACTGTTTGCTAATGATAAATCAAAATTGAATTTTCTTCAGGAATTTGAAAGCGAATACAAAACTCTTACACCAATATATTGGTATTCATTAGATAATTTTCTATATGAACTAGTTAATAAGGCACTTCGTGAACGGAATATAGAGCTACTCTTTCATATACGCATATTTATCCGTGGTCTTCATCGACAGATTGTTGTTATTTATAACAGTCGTACTACTACAGAATGCACCACTGTTCTTCCGATGGTTCTCTGTCGTGGTGCACTGATACCTATAAACGAGTTGAATGACAGAATTTTGAATAATCCTGAAGGTTTACTGTCTATTAGTGGTTCTTTATCGACAAGTGCTAATAAACAACTTGCGCTTGTTTTTGCTGGTCGTGCTCAAAAACATACGAATAAAATGCCCATTCTATTTACTATATCCATGAATGGTTGTTGATCATCACCCGTTTCATTTGCCTATATGGATTCATACATTAATGGAAATGAACAAGAATATCTATTTTCAATGGGTGCCGTCTTTCGCATTGATAGACTTGATCGACTCATCGATAATGATGCTTATTGTATTCATTTGAAGTTTACAAATGATAATGATTCACAACTTGCTGCTCTAACTGAATATGTCTATTGACAAACGAAAGGGGCTAAATTGATATAAAATATAGCTTTTTTACTCTACGAAATAGGTGGTCATGAGAAATCTGCTCAATTTTATATTCAATTGCTCCAAGAATCGAATCTATTACCTGATGAACGGGCAATTGCTTTGAGTAATCTGGGTTCAACTTACGACAGTGCAGGAGACCATAGCACAGCTCTTAAATACTACTTGGAAACATTGGATATCGAAAAAGAACATAAATTATCTTCTGATAGGACACTCTGCAATATCGGTTATGCCTATTGGCAACTTCAACAATACGAACTTGCACGTAAATATTACCAATCGGCACTGGACATGGCTTTATTTAAGCGAGATAATGAATTAATTGCATGTATTTATGAGAACATCGCAACATTATTAGATGATGAAAATGATCTTAATCAAGCCCTTGTCTATCATGATAAAGCACTAAAAATTCGAGAAGACTATTTGCCATCTATACATAAAAATATTGCAATGACGCATTACATCACTGGCAACCTTTTATTTCGACAAGGTAACGTTGATGGTTCTCTCAAAGCATTGAAGAAGTTTTTACATATTCAACTATTATCATTACCTCCTGATCATTCAGATCTTCGTATGACGTTTACACGAATTGCCGATACATATCATCATCTAGGACGACATGAAGATGCATTCGATGCAATTGCACGAGCAATGAAAATTAACCTTCAATCAATTGAAATGAATTGTCGTCTGCTCGGATCCGATCATCCAAACATACAATCTGACTTAGAAGAAATTCGTCTATTATCTCCTAAACTCAATAGAAATCGATCAACAAATAATAATAAAACATAATATGCTAAAGCCATGTATATATCTTAAACGCGGGATTATCGTTTAGGCTATTGAAGAAGAATATTACATTGTTTTAATTAATTCAAATAAATGAATTTTTTAGAACGTTATTTTTTTAAACTTTTATCTGGACTCTTCTGAATTAATCTACATATATTATTCATCTGTCAATGAGATTTTGTCTCGTATTTCTTTGTCAAAACCCATGATCAATGGTGGTTCTGAAAAAAAACCACTGGTTCACCGTAATCAATTGAGGGTTTCCTAAAACCGGTCTTGACTACTAAAAACTATTATAAAGTACCTGTTTATTTTAATAAACAATTTTTTTTTCTGTATTTAGATCAATTTCAATATGGAACTGAACAGTAAGTATTTGTTTGAATAAATAATATTTTTCTCTATTGAGATCAGTCTGAAAATGGAACTGGGCAGTATTCGGTTTTTTTTGGCTAAAACTGGTTTGATTTGTTTTTTTTTTGAAACAATAGTTCGCTAGGCTTCTCAACACGAACGTATGCTAACGGTGGGGTGTGGGTGTGCGCGTGGATCTTCGTTTGACCCTCAGCTATAGCACATCCCACACCCAAACTCTTTCGAATACGTGGAGACTTGGTACCTTTTATCCACTCTAAGCACATGTAGAAAATAACAAAAAAAAATAAATCTTGATCTGTTCGTGGGTATGGGTGTGATATTGATTCATCGTATAGTTATCTAGATGATTCATTTTCTATTACCATCTGTATTCACAGCTGCCTTACATTCAAATAGAAAGAGTGACGTATAACTCATCTTAATGCTTTTGTTTTAATTATCTTAAAGCTAAATTTCTTCAAAACCGCGTTTTTTGGAACTCGATTTGTGTGAGTACGGAAAGTCCTAAAGACAATTTATTAAAACATATTACAGATTGAGTATGGGTGTGTGTGTGAATCTTCTTCATCCACACGCACACCTACATCCATACTCTCAATAGAAGTGACCAACATGAAGTCAATGCACACAAATATTCAATTGTTTTACGTCACTTAGTTAGTAATCAGCAGGAACTTTTATTTTATAATCAAGGCTTTTTGATGTTTTCAAATTATCCTAAAGGGTTAAAACAGATTTATCTCTTCTCACAATATACTCAGTACATCAAATGTAATTTTTATGACAGCTTTTGTTGTCTCGATTACTTTGCATTTGATTTCAACGTGTTCAGATCAGATGAATACCATAAGGACATCTGCATTTACAAGTATCATACTAGATATTCTGTTGCATTTCGACATTCTTATATTAACAGTGTAACACACTTAAAAATGCGCACTTTTTTCTTGAAATTATTATAATGAGTTCAATTTCATTCTTTGTTATAATTTATTTCCTATTCGATCAAACTCATCTTTATTCCCAGAACTCGTCTTATCATTTTTTCATACCATTCTGTTCCTTGCTCCTGCAGTCGGTACAGCTTTTTAAACACGTCTTGATTTTGCTTCTATTGTCAAATTTTTTGTATTATGCGAGTACGTGACATGGGAAACTCTTAGTAAGCTATGCCTGGAGATGAAGCAGAGACTGAGCATGAGAATAAAGGTATAGGGTAGGTGAAGCTAGAAAAAAAAAGTGAATGTCAGCAAGGGCGTCGATATTCACCACTCATCCTTTGCTCTCATCAGATATATCAATTCAATATTTTATCATATATAAATTGATCAGTTTCTTTTTATTTTAACAATATCTAACGATCAAATGTAAAAATAGAAAACTTAAAGCCAAATAGAAAACATTGAATTCGAACAGTTTGCATAAAATATCAACGTATGATATTTCAAATCAGTATTGTCAATAAGCCATTGATGAAATTTACCGTCACTTAGTATTCCATTTGATTGTCCATAAACATATTTCGTCGAAAAATTGATTAATTCAGACCAAAAACGTAACTTCTTATCACTACTATCATCCATACTAAACAAAACTTGAAAGCACCGAAGAAATAACGAATTATCCAATGGAAATAATAATTGTAAATATTTAACATTTGGATATTGATGAGCAAGAGAAGATATTTCTTGTTCATCAATTAAACGACGTTCAACAATTAAATGATGAATATAAGGTTGAACTATTGACTGTATAGAACCAATTGCTAAAACCAAAATAATTACAAAACGTCTATTTTATAAATATATCTTACGAGTTTCTTCTGTAAGAATCAATTTTGTAATTCGTTCAGGTAATTTCCTATTAATTGAAAAACAAGTTGTTATTTTACAAACTCGATGAAAACGAGTTTCCAATTCAATTAATTCATCTGATTTTGTAATCTTCATATGTTCCATATGTTCAGCTTGTTTAACATCTGATCCAACTGTTGTCATATATCCATTTTTAACAATAGGTAATCGTCGTTGATCATCTTTATTTAATGGCCATGGTAGTGAATATATATGGATCCATTTAGAATTTTCATTAAAATAATAAGTAACATTCATTGGCCACCGAATGAAATCTTCAATTAATAATTTATCACTAATTCGATGTGTCATTGTATAATCAAATTGACGAAGATGTGGTAAATATTCTGTTAATATCGATTCCATTGTGGGACCATGACAAAATTGTGAATCAGGTGTATCACGAATACTTAATGTTAATTTAATTAAATTTGACATTGCGCTAAAAATACATTTAAGATTATCAATAACTAATCTGACACAAGGTTCGAACAGAGCAAATTCAGTTAGTTGAGGACATGATAATTTACATGGTAAATGAAGACATGCTGAAAAAGAAAGAGAAAATAAATTTCATAAATAAAAATATCTTTGAATTAAGGAGCAGAAAAATTCACAGGACAAAGTGATTTAGGTCAATTAATCTAATCTACTGACGAACTTGCACATATTATTCCATCAGCTAGATTCAAATTGGATTCCGATAGAAATATGAACGATTTCTTATCGAATCGAAACATCTTGGAAGATCTTTTCTGAAAATAATGTAAACATCAAGTTTTCATTTTCGATAAGAGTATTTATTTTTTGAGTCATAAAGTGTCAAAAAGTCGACAATAAACTGCAGAGGACAGAGTCATTTTATATGTTAATAATTGTCCTTCAGAGGTGTACAATCGATAGATATGATACGAGTAAAAACATTCACCAAAAAAAGTTATTTTCCTATGTTATCCTAAGGTTGTATGAGATTACTGTAAATAAGTAACCGGCAAATAGTACATAATATAATTCTCACAATCATATTTTTACGCACATGGAAACCAGCCCAACTGATTCTCAGCTTTCGGCTTCGTCTTTTGGCGATAAGAAGGCTTCTATGAGACTAAGAAAATTCTAGAAAGATTGGTGCTTATGGCCTATTGATCAAGAGTTATGAGCAATTTACCGAATTTCTGGCTTATCTGTGAGTATTCATCGAAAAATCAAACTATTAGTTTTCGATTTGAAATTTTGTTCAACGATAGGTGTGATGATCGAATTTACGAAAGTATTCAGTATCTCGACAAAGGTATATTTTTTTTAAATGAAACTTTCAAAGTATTTTAATGATCGTCAGACCTATCCTTGGACGAAATTTCAGATCGAAATCTCGTACTTTGATTTTTCAGTGAATATACACAAATAGGCCGAAAATTTAGTAAATTGTTCGTAACTCTTGGTCAATAGGCCACAAGTACCAAACTTTGTTGAGTTCTCTTAGTCTTACCGAAGCCTACTTATAATGAAAAGATGAAATCGAAAGCTCGGAATCAGTTAGGATGATTCCCTTAACAGTCCTATATTGTGTATATTGCTGTGAAGACTTATAATATAGATAATTATGTGCTATATCAATGAATTCACTTTATTTCAACACACGTCTTGTTTCCTCTGAACGATTTTTCGCTGCAAATAGATTTTTATATAACGAACACCGTTCAACTCTAAACAATGAATACTATATCGAATTCCTTAGTCAAAGAAAACCTCCACATAATGAACATGCAGGTACAATAATATATGCGGGTGTCTTGAAACAATAGAAAAAGAAAGAGAATAGGGTAAACATTCTGAAGCCATGCTAGATCAATTCATCAACTGTTTGTCCATTACAAGAAAAGAAGCAATATCACTGAATAGTCGGCGATGAATTGACCCGTCGCATATGACAGAATGGCATACTATTTCAGATGACGACTGAAATAAAAGTCAAGTTTATCAACACAATAGACATAGTCATTTGATTGCACCTACTGTCTTTCAGCAACCATGACCGCGTTCTTCACTTAACTTTTTGCTCATTCGAAACTAAGTCAATAGACAAAGAACGATGTTTCCTACAAAAAAATGAATAAACATCTACAACATTTGAAACAAATAGTTTTTTTTCTTTCAGTTAATTGAAGTGAATTTTGTTAGGTACAGTGCAAAGTCATAAATGGGTAATACGGATCATTAGTCAATGAATCCTTTTTGGAGGGTTCTAATGGTACACATTGTATAGAGGTTTTACTGACAAACGATATATAAATAAACTTACTCAAAATACGTGTTTGAGTTAAATGGACAATTAATGATTGAACATTTGGTATAAGTCGACCGAGTAATATACATAAATCATCGATTGTTTTTAAAATAATTTCAACATGACGAAGATTTTCATGAGATATTAAAGATTGATATAATGAAAGGCCATCTAATAATTCAATCTTTATCGTGTTTAATGATGAAAGCTTTTTGTTGAATAATATTCGACCAATCGATCCATCACATGGTTCTTCGGAAACTATCCATTAAATAGAACTGTTTAGTTTCTTATTTATTCTCATTAACTTATTAATCAAAGAATGATGAAATCAACTTACTAAAATATTTGTCCAACTTATGAACATTAATATGAAAATATTCAAGTCGCTGTAGATCATCAATATATTCTCTATCAATTTGTTGAATTTCACTTGTAGAACAATCGATTAATGTAAGACGTTTCAAATTGGTGAATATTGATTGAATGAGATTCTTACGAATATAAGTAAAATATCGTTGTGTTAAACAAGTTATATGTTCATTACTTAATATTAGAGATTCAGGTTGAAGAGGAGTATTAGAATCACTAAGTAACTCGTGAATATAGGCATATGCATCAAATGATATTTTATCAAGTTTTATTTTTGTATAATAATCAATTATTGAACGATGTAAACGTGTTTCAGCTTTTTCAGGTGTATAAAACGAATAAAGAACATAAGCTGGTGATAAATAACGACAAATAAGAAGTAAAATTTCATTTGGTAAATCCATTAAAGTAGTTCTATTGTCATGAAAATGTTCTAATGATAATAAAGAATTATCAATATTCTCGTCAGCACGTTTCATATCGTTGTTTCACAAAATTTCAAGATAGAATAAACGTTGCTTAGATCTTTTTTTGATCGTTTCTTTCTGTCTAAATAAGTATACAATATCTAAAAGATGTTGTATGGGAATAAAAGCTTGCTTGATCGATTCAGATATATGAGAACTTCTCAAAGGAGGACGCCCAACATGACTAGTCCAAACTGTTCACGTCATCCAGCAAGTCTAGTCTGATACGCGTCTTCTGTATCTTTCATGACTAGTCATCTTTACAAGGTATGTCTTGCAACTACATTTAGACTAGTCCAGAATAAAAAAAGAGACGAAGATTGCATTTGAACACTTGACTCAATGATATTTCACACATGACGGATACTTCGAGGCTAATTAGTGACGAACGTCGCGTTAAATAGTCTAAATAGCAAAAATTCAGTTTATTTTCAAAGTTCGATAGCAATAAATTTAAATAATGACCGAACGTGAAATGTGATTGAATAAGAGAATTGAATTTTTTTCAAATTTACATTATTTTTCATCATAAATTTAAGAAGAAGTTTTTAAAATATGAATTGATAACAAGCAGTTTTGTAACGATCAAAAGCAACCAATTTGGAAAAAGCAGAGCTTTAAGATTTTATCTTGTATAATTTTGTCGAAATAATTTTCAGTCTGTCATAGAAACTTTTTTTCTAATATAAAAAATGATATAAACTCTAAGTAAAATCGTATGACACGGCATCTTAGAATATTTAATAACATACAAAAATTGATTACTTGATCCTCTAGTTCAATTGGCTGAATCATGGGTAAGTGATATTTGGTATGTATATTCGAACGTAATCTTCACCCTTATATTTTGTAGTAATTAGACTGGTCCGAACTAAACAAAAGTTATTCGAAAAATGGCAACTTGCCTTTTATTTTGTGGATCGGATCATAGTTCGTTTACATATATATGCAGTGATCGTTTGAAAAAATAAAAAACAAGTTCATTTTCGACTAGATAGATCGATTCACCAGTTAACAGGGAACCAATTTAATTGAATCGTAACACTACTAAACGATTAGTTGGAAAAGATGATGAGGCATGGAACCGGCGAGTCACCAGTGGCGCTCTGGAAAGACGTCGACGAGCGACTCGCCGTTTATTTTAGGAGATTGACACATCTTTTCTTGCATAAAACTTTGAATGAAATGTAGTGTTTATTTTTTCGAAAGAGCTGAGTCAATTGTTGTGGTGAAGGCGACTAATTTCAAAATCCTACCAATTCCTCATAAAAGGCAAAGAAATGTAATCTATGATGAAAAAATCGCGCGCGTGCTATATATCCTGAACTCGACATTATCAGTATTGCTTTCTCAAATTGCAAAAGTGGGAAGACTTGTTCGTAAATTGTCGGCTATAGCATCACACAAACCGAAGATTTATTTGATAATAGTTCTCAAAATGAATAGAATCAATTCAGTTGAGAGTCAAGCGAGTCATAGCGACGAGCGTTACTTGTTAACTTAACGATCACAAATAAAACGTATAATTATATTTAAAGAATATTTCAAATTGTTATCTATCAAATTCTTTATTCTTTGATGAGATTTGGATAAAAGTTATTCATATGAAATATGTTTAATCACTTCGACAAATTGAATTTCTAATTCGTCGTCAGTTAAAATCGAATTTTTATCTGGTTTTGTTTAATGAAATTGGGTTTATTGGTAGGTTAATAGATTAATAAGGATTGCATTGCGTAGAAATAAAAATAAATATTTAAGGTAGATCCGGGTAGAGATGTGAGTGAAGTAGGGTAGATGAGTATTAGGATGATTTTAAGTGCGTAAATGGGAGTGACTTGATGCATTATGGTCCTTTTTCACTGTCACTCTGTACATACATCACGCATGTTGAGGATGTGCGTAGTAGGATAATCCACTCATATGACATCCTCACTCTCACTCCTGCATATATCTATGCACAGTTACCTATCTAGTTCAAATATATATTTTTTATGAAATCACCTAGAGACAGTACGCTACTTCCACTCATGTAAAATGCCAGCTGCTAAGACAAGAAAAAAAACAATTTGAGCTGTTTTTTTAGTTGAGAAAGATACGGAATGAGAATGTATGGTTGAGTGTTAGAAGTGTATTCAACCTTCTTTCACGATCACTCATATCCACCATTCACAAGATAAATCTAGCAGTTAGATAAATAAACGATTAATCAACGTTGTTCTTTCGAAAGATGTTGTCAAGAATTATGCAGACCCATGATTTTGGCTTCCAGTAATTTGCGGATGTTGTTGGAACCGGCCGAAAAGACGCAGAAAATTCACCGGAACCCGTAAGAGCACACGAAAATTAGCGAAAAATGAAAGCAATATTTTGAGTAGGAAATCTTCGGATCGTTCCAGTGACTTTCGCTTATTTCCAAAAGCAAAGAACAGAAAATTGACCAGTGGTCACTGGAAAAATCTCGAGACAACCGATCCAAAATACTGTTTCCATGTTCTCCTAATTTTCGCTGTTTGCCTGCCAGCAGAATCGGTCCGTACGACCTGGATTCAAATATACTCGAAATATTTTCAAGAGAGACATGCTTCTACTGATGTCTAAAGATAATTATGTTTTCTATACATTAACAATTTCACGATAACTAATACTGGAAGGTTTGCATTGCATTTCTCAATCGAAAGAAACTCAAACACCATCTAATTCTTGTTGTTTTTTCTACTAATAATATTCTAAATATCCTGAATTTTAGCAAAAAAATAGGTAAAAGAATTAGTTTTGACCTTTCTGAAAATTTTACGATATCAAGCAAGCATTATTCAATTGTTTAGTCAAATTTAGATAATACAATTTCTGCAAAAGAAAAGAAATTAGCTAATTCAAAATCTTGATAATATACTTTAATGCCTCTTGCAATTATTGTAAAGACTTTTACTCGCTATATTACATGATGATATAAAAGAAAAAATGAATAAATTTGCTGTATCCGGTGAACTGCATCTAGCAGACGTGTGTCTAATTATAAAACTAAGTAGAGGATAGATTGTTTTGATTCTCTGAGTATTTTTATTCATTATAAAAACGTTTATGTGTGACAATCAACTGCAGTTGATAATTGAAAAGCATGATGAACTGGTGAAAAATATTGCGTATTTTCGATATTAGCACTCAAGTTTTCTTTTCAAGCACAAACTGACACAAAATTAGCAGCACTAAGATAAAATAAAGAACGAACCTGCTCTTCCGTATAGATCTAGATATAAATGTACATGAAGAAACAAGAATTATAAACTTTTTTCCTGTTGAATCTTGTCGCATTTTCAAATAGAAATGTGAAGAAGGTAGATGACCATTTTGAGATAGAAAAAAAACAATACACACACGTCTCTCTAATTGAGGGTACCACAGAAATCCTTATCACACACAGATCAGCATATATCTTTCTAGCTAAGGATGCTCGGATATCGTGATTCCACGTGAAAAACACATTCCGTACTGGTTAAATCGCAAATGAGTAATGCGAAGATTCTCACCCAAATTCGACCAAATTCATTTGGTAAGGAATATGTTTTTCATGCGGAATTACGATTTCTGAGCACCCTTAGTAGATAGATATGTCCTAAAGTGTTTGTGATAAAGATTTTCGTGGTACCATCGCCCTCCGGGAAGGACGCATATGCTTATTTAATGTCTGTAAGAAATCATAAATGAAACTCGGGTTAGTTAACTTTTTTGATATGATCAATTTGTTTTTAAATAATTTCAAAAGCAACGCTACAAGATTGGATATCGACGTTTCTGATAATATTGTTCAAAATCAATCACACAGAAAAGCAACTATAGTCTTTCAATACTTCGACTAATTCATCTTTTAGAAAATATTTATTCAATCATTCTTTTCATTTTATTTAAAACGAACTATATACATGAAATAAAATATGTTTTTTTAACAATTAAATCTTACCACCACAAATATAATTTCTGAGTAACATAATTTATTAAATAATCATCAAATCATTTTTCTAATTTAGTTAATCTCTTCAATTCTCGTAAGGATCTTTTATGTACTTTAAAAACACACAAAAAGAATAAATGATGAACATTTTTATTATTTTTTCCTAATAATAATTGTATAATAGAGAAAAATTCTTTTCTATTCATTTCAATTGTAAATTGTTCCAATCGACGACATAAATCAATAATCAATTGAATTTGTTTTAATATAAATAAAAACATCTAAATACATATATGTCTTCTCAACAACAATCACATCAACGAGTATTCTTAGTTACTGGAGCTAATATGGATTTGAAGTTGTGAAACAACTTGCGGCAACTCATCCAACTGATCTAATTTTGCTTGGTAGTCGTGGTCAGAAACGTGGCGAAGATGCTCTAGCTCAACTTGGTTCACCTTTAAATGTCAAAGTCTTCCTGGATGATGCATCATCTTTAGAAAGTATTGAACAGGCAAAACAGGAAATTCAAAAGAAATGTGTTGGTGCGATGTCACTTTTATTAAGAAGCAGTGGACGTATTGTTAATGTTAGTAATGAAGTAGGGGCAATGTCAATGAAACATTGTTCACAAGACTTAAAAACAAGATTTCCTGCCCTTGAAGATTTCTATTTATTATACGATTGCGCACCAAAAGTAGGTGTCAGTATTCTAACTCGTCTGAAAGCACGTGACTGGGATAAAAAATATTTAACGAAAAATGTAACCATCAATGGAGTCTGTCCAGGATTTTGTGCAACTGATCTAAATAACAAAGCACAGGGTACACGATCATCTAAACTGAGCGATGACTCTATTTTCGATGGTATTTACACTGAGAATCTTGAGAATGGACAATTTTGGAGAGATAAAAGTCGTTTACCATTGGAATCAGAGGAATCACATACCCGAGTCTTACCAAACGTGATTCTTAACTTAAAAAACCAAGAACAATTTCAACAAATTGAGTGTGTGAGGGTGAACTAAAGAGCACACCGTGATCGCGATTTCGACCTGACCCAAAGGTCTCATCAAGTAGTTATGACTTTGTAACTATCCAAAGGATCAAAAGGTCATAAATAAGTATAGAAAATAAAATGGAGCAAGGATAAGGAAGTTTAATTTTGTAAGACTTCTATTGTAATGAAAAGTAAGTTTCATAATAAGAAAATGAATAACAAGAAATCTAGGGTCTAAATAGAAAAGTAGTATAGTGTTCATATGTACTGTATCTGTAACACTGTTATTAGTGTTCGTGAAAGTGTTTTATCGATGTATGTTGTCTTGGCACAAAATAGTATTATTATTGGCGCATTTACCTTCTGAAAATATGACTTTCAGATAGTTTATAATCTGTTAAGAACGGAAGCCAATGACAACATCTTCTATCATGATTCTCATAGAATCAATCAGTAACTTCTATAAGACTCTTTTTCTCGCTTCCCTAGATACTCATTAAACATTTTTTCTTCCTACGCCAACTACTCATCAAATTGTAACTTGTAATTGATACAAATCTTGTAAAGCAGTAAGCATACTTCTCTCCTTTATCTTTATTTTCTTCGAATTTTTTATGTTTTCTTTCTCTCTTCTTACTTGCTGCTTATCTTTTTCCTAGTCACAATTTCTTTCTCTTCCACTTGCTGTTATTCTCTGTTGCACATATCGTTGCTTTTATCTCAACGTGCATCTGTATATCCACGATATTTCTTCGAGCCTCCTTGGAACAGAAGCATGAAAAAATTAGAGAAAGCATACTACCCAAGAATGATGAAGAAAAGTGCGCTCAGAACGTGTGAAATGAGAGATTTCAATAATCTCCTTATTGATAGTCGTTGTTGTTGTTACGACGCCAACAGGATCCTTAATAATAGGAAACGCAGCTTAACTCAATTTGGATTAAAACAAAAAAGCTTTTCTAAGTTGAACATTTATTCTCAGTTGAAAGAAAATGATTCCAAATTTTGACATTTGCTTGACACCTTCTAGATATGTATTATAAGCCATCGAGCTTAAATTTCAATATTGACATGCAAACGAACAAACATACGTTTCTTTGTTTTTCTGTAAAAAGTGAGTTATCGATATGCAAAGAAAATTTTCTTCAACATAACATCTGTCTCGTCCTCAAATAATGGGAGCATTCTATACTGATGAAATCTCATGTGAAGAAGAAAATACATATTCACGTAACCAAGAAATGAAACCGGATGATGTTGACTGTTTTCCATGTGGCAACAGTGCTGCTTTTGCAGTAGCTTATTCTCTAGATTGGTTCTGTTGTTGTAGTTGAGACGGTATTGGAAGTCGTATTATAGATTGTGATCACTGTAATTGTTGAAAACTTACTTTCTCTCAACACTTCTGAAGGCAAGATGAAGTGATCCGTTGTTTCTTATACACTTCAATGAAAGACAGATTTTAATCTCCTACCTATGCCGATAATTTCAAAAGCAAAGTTTACTAATGCTTGGTCAATTCAATCCTTATCAATGGTTAATACAAGTTTGAATATGTTTGAGCTTTTGGTAGCTCGATTTTCTATTAATAATAATTTTTTTCTAATTTACAGGATATGAACTCTCTGTTCTTGACAGAAATATTCGAGATGACACTACCGGTAAATATATCTCCTTCTCTCTGTTAAGTAATAATAGAAATAGAAGCTGTCAAAGAAAGTCATATTATTACATAAAATACGCAGTGGATGGTTGTCGCTACAAGCTATTCTCATTTGTCAAGAGAAATTTATCTTCTTTCATTAAATATAATGATTGAAGGTTTTTTCTTTTTGTTACCAGTTAATGTTAGATAGAATGAAGTAAGTGTTGACTAACAACTATCAACCATGGAGTTGAACTCGAGCAATTCGTCTTACTATGTTGATGAAAAAGATTCTGATGTATTCAAGATGTCATTATTTGAAAGAAACATCAAGTTTTACTTCCTTCTCATTATGGATATTCCGTCACTTTGCTGCACAATTTTCATGTAAGTTTGGATGAATACCCAGTCATTCGCGAAAACCTTGAAAATGTGTATAGATACTTGAATTTTTAATAAACTCGTATGTGCATGTAAACATACTGGTGAGCATACGGAAAATTATTGCTGAATTTTATATTACATGTCATCTCATGCAGACATTTGACATTCTTCGAACACTGGTCAGTGTACAAGTCGTTAAGTTTTATTGCAGAAGCGTGCATTCACATGTGCTTCAGTATCTCGTGACTAGTTGTATCAGTCAATTTTGCTCTACCACATTGCTCCTAGAAAATGAACCACATATTTTTAGACTTTCTTTATACAATCTCAACTGTTTCCTTATCATTCGACCCTAAGATATACCATAGCAGTCCCCACAAAATGATATATTTCGATTAAAAAAAAAGACAATTTCAGACAGTAAAATGAAATATTTGCAAGAAGTTTACTTTTCAGAAACTTATGAATGAAACTAATGTAACTAGCTATTTAATATTTAGCAATATTAAACCATTGTCATAGCTATTTAAATAAAAAAGATTGCTATGTCAGCAAACTGCATAGCTAGTTTACGATATAACTGACTGATTTAATAGCTGATTTTTATTGTTTTTCTTCATGTAACTGATGATTTAAATTCTAGTACTATAATAACATAATTATTTCGGTAACTGTTAAAGAAAACAGCAGCTATTAAGTTACTTAACATGTAAGTGGTTATAATTCATTCTTTCAAACAGTACTGTCAAACTTGACAAGATTCGATATATAAAGAAAAGAAAACTGTTCCTTTTAAACAACTAAATACTATTTAGATAGCAACTGATTTTTCGAAATAAGACTTTATTTTGAATATAGCTTTACATTCAAAACTTCGCGTTTATTAAACTGTGCTCAATACAAAACGATTCTATCATTTAAATAGTCGTTCATATTTAATAACTATTTATGAACGAAGATTCAAACTCCTAAACTCCTGCTCGAAAAAATAAATCATTTGAACTAAATACATAACTGATTAATATCTAAGTAGCTGTAAATATTTTTTTTTTGAGTATGCTTTATTTATCGTTACGTCCTAGAACGCTTACAATGAAAGAACAACAGAAATAAACGTGAAAAAATGATGGAAAAAACAAAAAGGAAAGGAGAAAGGAAAGGAAGGAAGTAGAAGGCGATGGGGGGCAGAAAATGAGTCAGGAAACTAGAAACTCAATGAGTAGAATGTAGGTCCAAGGATTGGCTTATCCAAGTATAATGAGACACTTCTCCTATCTATTTTCTTTGGCTGTGATTATTCTCTATAAAATTTATCCACCGGATTAAATATGATTCATGATTTTCAATCAGCTTTCTAACTCTTTTCAGTTGGAAGAAGTGGCCAATACTTAATTTCTTTGTTTTTATTGCTTGGGAGGAGTGATTCTTTATTAGTGCATCCCAATAGAAAATATCATTAATAAATAGGGATTCTCCTAACTCAGTGAAAAATATTTGCTTCAAAGAATGGGAAAGAACACGTTCCGTAAAATTAAAAGCCCCTTTTTTTAAGAAAAGAAGATGTTCCAACAAAAGTGGAAAGCATTCCAAAATGGAACCATTAAGAACACATTCCATGTGTTTTGAAATGCGTTCTTAACTGTTCCAGCTTTTTTGGAACGTTTTCTTTTCTCAAAAAAAAAGCTAACTTTTTTTGTAATGCATTCTTGATCGTTATTGCCTGAATTTAGATTCACTATAAGAGTTCTCGAAGAGAAGTTCAGACATAATTTTTTGTAAGATCGATTCTGATGCAACTCGACGAGCTCTATCCGATGGCGTGCTCTATTTTTTCGTAGCTCAAACTGTTATTTAAAAATTTTTTTTGAAATCAGGACTGCCAGTTGTAAAGTATGACTAATTGAAGATTTCACCATTTTTGGCACCAGTTTCAGTTTCGTACTTCAGAGCTGTCATTTTTGAGTCAAACGTGACGTTAAATTCAGATGAAAGAGTTCATCAGTCAAAAGAATCCTTTCTCAGGTGTTTCTCAAGAGAATGTTAAAAAAAGCGGTCTCATTTCGATGGAATCCTATTTTGACTGTTTCGAAATAGAATCGGCAGAGACACGTTCTATTGGCTCATGGAACGCTTTCTATCCAGATAGAGAACGATTTTTGAACTGAGAAGAAAGCATTCCGTACTAGTGTGGAACAGTAAAGAATGAGTTCCTTTAGACTCAGAACTTTTCTTTTTGTTTGTGAAAACGTTCGCTAAGCTGTAGAACACATTCTTGATGTAAAAGGCAAGTCTCTACATTTTTATGAATACGTTCTCTTTCGTTATTTTTAGAAATATTTTTAACTGAAAAATCTGTTTGATGTGTTTTTAGGAGCTTTTTTTCAGATATGCTGCGACATACCATTCCAACGGGCGCTCTGTCACTAAAGTAAACAGATCAGTTGCTGAGATCCATAGACATCTATGTATGACTCTTATTCCCACTCTAAATTTCCTTTTAAGTAGTAGCTGTAAATATTGCTTAACTAGTGCTCAACAACTCTAAATGGTGATCGACATTACTTAGCTATTCATCAATAAGTATTCGAACTTTCAAACCTCTGCTCGTGAAAAAATCAATTAAATTAAGTAAATAGTGGACAATTATTTAAATAACTATATATACAAAACTTTGCGCGTTTTGAACTTCGCTCAATATAAATCGATTGTAATATTTAAATAGCTATGAAAATCTTTAAACAATGCTTAATAAATAAATAGCTGAATGATAGTTCAATAGCTAGAAATTCATTCAGACATATTCAAACTGAGTAAATAATGAACAGTTATCGGGTAAATACATTAAAATTTTCTCTATACAAAAATCGTATCTCTTTTTGAGAATGAGCCACAATATATCTTCTAGAATGAAATATCAGGTTCGAATCAAAGTTCATGTATGTTCTATCTATTATGAGCGTATTTTTATCTACAATGCTAAGACTTGCCGCTGATGATTT